TACCTGTTCATTTCCTAGGGTGACTCCTAGTTCTTGTGTTATGTGAAGGGGTAAATAACACTTACTGTCACCCCACTGTTCATGGTTTTATAGAACTCTGCCATATCCCCCTTTAATCATCTCTCTTCCTAGGTGAGCAGTCCCAGTCTTTTTAATGCCTTATCATATGGAAGCTGTTCATATCCTTAATAACTGGTGTTGCCCTCACCGCACCTTTTCTAAGTCTAATTTTTTTTTATTTTTTGGGATGGGGTAACTACAATGGCAAGTAGTATTCAAAATGAGGGTGTACATACAATTATATAGTGTTGTTATATTTTCTATTTTATCTACCCCTTTCCTAATGGTTCCTAACATTTTTTTTGCTGTTTTGACTGCCATTGCATGTTAAGTGAATGTTTCCAGAGAACTATGCAGAATCACTCCAACATTGTTTTTGACTGGTAACACCAAACTTAGATTGAATAATTTTGTATGTGTAGTTGTGGTCATGTTTGCCAATGTATGTAACTTGGCAATTAACATTGAATTTCATTGTCATTTTTCTGTCCAATTACCCAGTTTTTTGAGCTCCCTTTTTAATGCTTTAAACAAATTTCTAATCTATTGGAGTGTCGAACTGCTGAAACGGGGAGGGAAGGATGCTAATTCTAATGGAAATAACTTTATTTAAAAGCTTGGTCTATACATGTCATTTTCACTTGGAAAATATCATCTGAAAAATGTTCAACTCATTAGCATGTCTTAAGAAGCTACGTGGGTTTCATTTGTGCCTCTTCATAATCGTTTTATTTTCAGAATACAACAAAAATGACTAATAACTGGATTTTTCCCCCCTTTCCTTTGCTGACACTCAAAAGGAGATGGAAATATAACTTGTAGACACATAAATGACTTGATTGTTTTATGGTGGCATTAATATTTTTTCATGTCTTGTCTACTTACTCCAAAGACTAATGAAATGAAATAAGGAAAATGATCCGATTTGTTCTTAAAAATTCTTGGCACATATACTCTAGCTATAACACTTTAGATCTAGGTGTTAAATGTGCTCTGAGTTGAGGTTGAGGTTTTGATTTGATAGAAATGAGTGGAGTTGTTAGTGTGTATCCCTAAGGCAAGAGCAGATACTGGTCAAGACCTCCAGGAAAGATCCCTGACCCCCTGGATAGGTGGTAACTGTGAGGCAAAATAAAAGCAATAATCTAAAGGTTACATAGTGTTTTCCGCTTATAGAATATTTTATATCTAGTTAAACAAGTACTTAAACCAGACCTCAATTGTCAATTATATGTTAAGTGGCAATGTGTCTGTTAGTGTTAGCAAGATATCTTTGCATGGATGTGATCTATTGGTGTTGCACCCGAGGGATTAAAACAGAGGGGCTGTGTCTACACTGGGCCACTTATTCCGGAAAAGCAGTCGCTTTTCCGGAATAACTTGAAAGCTGTCTACACTGGCCGCTTGCTTTTCCGGAAAAGCAATGACGATCTGCTGTAAAATTGTCAGTGCTTTTCTGGAAAAACTATGCTGCTCCCGTTCGGGCAAAAGTCCTTTTCTGGAAAAACTGTTCCGGGAAAAGGCCAGTGTAGACAGCACAGTAGTCTTTTCCGCAAAAAAGCTCCGATTGCGAAAATGACGATCGGGGCTTTTTTCCGGAAAAGCGCGTCTACATTGGCCACGGACGCTTTTCCGGAAAAAGTGCTTTTCCGGAAAAGCATCCTGCCAATGTAGACGCGCTTTTTCCGGAAATACTTATTATGAAAAATGGTTCCGTTTTAAGCATTTCCGGAAAAGGGTGCCAATGTAGACACAGTCTGGCAGTAAGGGTACATGACAATTGCGTATTTATTCCTAGTACTATTGAATGTGTTATGTCCTGTGTCTCACCTGTAGTGCTTTCCCTGGGATGTAATTGTCTGGATGGTTATCTTTATGATGACCTTGCTCCGATGGGCTAAGGGCGCCGGGCGGGAGGGGACGACCTTCACGTACTGTGCCTTTGGTATAGGTGTTTGTGGGCCTGTTCCAGACTTGACATTTAGAATAGGGGTTCTTAACAGAATATCATAGCCTGCCTCAGAAATTTTTACCCTAGAGTGAGCATGAGGAGAAACCTTGTCAGAGTTATCTCCTTCCCTTCTACTTACTTAGTAGTCTCTTTCTATAAGGTAAGATCCATAGAGAGGTTTGGAACCTGTTCAGTGTAATCCACCTGGTACCAGCTGAATTCTAGGCACAGAAATCACTAGGTCAAGGTCATTTGATTTCCTACTAATGATTTTGGCTTTTGGGATGAAAGTTGGGAAAAAATTGTGAGCTCTGATTGAATTAGCATTGATCTAACACTCCCATCTCTATGTATATTTTGATTCTTTTACTTCATGCATCCAATGAAGTGAGCTGCAACACACGAAAGCTTATGGCCTAATAAATTGGTTAGTCTGTAAGGTGCCAGCGGATTCTTTGGTTGTTTCTAAAACAGACTAACATGGCTACCTCTCTGAAACTTGAGCTCCGAACTGACATTTGTGCACCAATAGCTTGATGATTCAAGTGCATTATAAGCATTTCCTATGTTATCGCTATTTGCCGGATACCTACCATACCCATAGTGCTTTGCTTAAAATTTCTCCCATGCACAAATAACATACATTTTAGTTGTGGGAAGTTTTTTAAATAGAATTTTAATTGGCATTGGTTGATTTTGATTGACATAAAAACTCAAGTTCTCTTCTGTCTTGACATTTTATCATCTTAATAGGGTTTGCTGTCAGTGTGTGGGTAATCTTCATCGTGCAAATTCATAGACGTTCAAACTCCTGTAGCATGATGGGATTGGTCTGGGCTGAGAGGACAGAGTTCAGGGTTATGCCAATTTAAGTGTATGATTTCTGCTGAGCAGGGCAGTCAGATCTATAATTAAAAGGACACCATCAGGATAATATCTCTGCAAGTCAGCTGGCGTTGAAAGAAGTTTTAACTAATCTTTTAAAAATGATGCAAAATGAATCGTAATATGACAATAAAGAACATAGGAAAATGTGACAGTTACATGGGCATTTCCTGGGAGGAGAAGGTGGTATTCAGAGCAGTTGGAAACTTTTGTGGGCCTGGTGATCAGTTGTCTCCAGAAGGTGTTTGTAGTTGGTAACTTGGACCTGCTTTAAGTGTGCCTAAATATATGACCTTCCTGAAGTAGTTTTGAACAGGTTTCAAGCAAGATTTGTTGGTCTTTGCCCTATTTTGGTGGCCAGAAGACACATCATGATCCACAGAAATAGGACTATGGGACCATTGGTCAGACACTCTAAGGAACTAGATTAAAACATTCCCTTCCCCTGGAGGCAGTAACAGAAAACCAGAAGGTCCTCTCTAATATTTGATTAATTTTGGAGCTTGTATCTGGTTAAACAAAGTGTAGATATCATGAGTGGCTTTGTCTAAAAGGACTTTATATGACATGATGGTGGACACGATAGAAAATATAGTTATGTTGCCTTGTATTTTCACATTGGCTTTTCAGTCTTTGTTACTCAAGTTATTAAGCAATAAGCAACTTTTTTTACTTCTTAAATTCAGGAAAAAGGTGCCTGAAATGTTGCTTTTTCTATTGCTATAGTTATTGAAGATGTCTGTCCCATTCATCTACTATAGTTGAGAATTCAATGAGGAGGTATCTGTTTGGAACCTTCTCTTCTGAGTCCTCTTGTTTTGACATCTGTATTCTGACATTTAAGCTGAGCTGTCGATGCACCTTCTGTTACAGGTGGTGTCACTTCCATGGTTCATTCTAGCACTGTGTGTTCCTTGTCACATGCTGTTTCTCTTAAACTTGAAAATGGATTTCACAAATTCTAGAGGTTTATATAAATTTTAATTAAATTCTTGGATGATTTTGGAAGCATATTTTTAAATTGGTCTATTTTATTCCAGTAACTTTTACAGTTCTCATTTGTTCTATAGTCCGAGCTTGGTTCAAGGCCATCAGGATGAAACAGCTATTTGTCTCTAATCTCTGTATCAGTAACCATTATGAAGTTGGAATCTATTCATCCGTATACTTTGGAGCTGTGTCTGTGTGCATCTCATCAAGCTGTTAACAAGGAAAATGTCATTATAGTTCTTTATAATATAGTTTGGTTGGATATGCCTTGAAGACTCACTTCAAGTTGGTTTTTCAGCATATAAGTTAAATTTTTCACCCAGTCTTTAGTATAGACACCTTGTTGTTACTGTTCATTATCTGTAAATTAAGAAATGCTGATTAATGAGCATACTTAAAACAAATACACATTATCCTGCGACTTTGTGGTTATGGTCTCCTAGCAACGGAGTTTCCTGTCAAGACACTCCATATTATTTCAAGGAGACTTTATCCAGTTTACCCTTATTTCTCCATCGAGTTTTTCAAATGTAATCCCTTTTCTCCTTTTCACATCTTACTAAAAGGTTCTTATTAAAGAGTGTGATTAATATCTTCAGTCTCTTGACAGCAGTAATAAAATAGAATAGGATAACATCAAACCATTATTCCATACTGAATTGTAAACCAGAATGCAGAGAGGAAAAGAAAAGGTCCTTTTCTGCAAATTCATGAAGAGTTGGTTCTTGATAAATTAATTGCCTCTCATGATAAAAATAGCAGATAGCTAGGTTGGGGGTTCAAGCCTATAATTCCACTTATATGTGTAGTCTTAAAATCATTATTAATAAAACTCATAGTTTATGAAAGTCTTAATCACACTAGATTTTAACATGCCCCAGAACTGGCAGGTATCTTACGCTTCCTTATATGTGATCTCTAACTTTGCATCAGTCTGCTTTGCAGGCTGCCATGTCTTGTGTATAGCGAATAAAGTAGTTGTTTTTGTGTTCCAGCATTTATTCCTATAGTAGTTGATGAGGCAGAGGTCTGCTTGGAACAAGCCAGCTGGAACATTGTATTTGCTTGGCGTTGCTCTTACTTTGAATGGTTTGTCGTGGTGGTGTCATTTCAGTGCGAGAAATGAGCGTGCTAGAAATGAAAGAAGACACAGAGCTGGATCCAGAGGAGAACAGTACCATCTTCATGGGGATCCTCATCAAAGGGCTGGCCAAACTGAAAAAAATCCCTGAGACCGTGAAAGCTATCCAGGATCGTCTGGAGCAGGAGCTCAAGCAGATTGTCAAAAGATCCACCACACAGGTGGCAGACAATGGCTACCAGAGAGGAGAGAGCCTTTCCCAGGAGAACCAGCCGAGGTAGGCACATTTCAAATGCTGAGGTAGAGTACTGGCATTGGCTGTAAAAGTAAGCTCTGAGCTGAGGCTGCATCACCCTTTGGCTGCCGCAGTTAGCTCAAAATTTTAAAAATGTGCCCCAGTGACTCAGGAACTGAAATCCTTTGCAAGATCAGACAATGTTTTTAATTATGTTAATGTACCTGGCGGTTTGGGCATTTGGTTTTATAAATATTGTTATGAATGATCCGCAAAAGACACATGGGTTTTGTTTTCCGTGTAGACTTCCAAAGAATATTAAAAAATGATGGAGGAATCGCCCTCCGAAAAGGGCAGAGGGAGAACTGTTCTTGAAGAAAATGATACGCAGTCTGTAATAAGGTGCCTCCTGCCTTTACAAGATGAATTTAAAGTCTTAAAGAAATCAATATAAAATGTGAGGTCCCCAATTAATAGCAAGCATTTGTAGAGACTAGGGAAACTGGGCCAACCTGGACAGATGGGCTACATTTTAATGGTCAGGGACAACTCCTGTCTTTAAAAGCCAAAGGTTCTTTATTTCACACGAGCCAAATTCTGTAAAAAGTTAAAGATGGGTAGAGGATATCTCTCACAACTGTTGAAATATTGTGAGGAGCTTCAGTGGTGGTAGGTTCTTGACCTCAGAACTTGGCAGATGAAGTATGTTTTAGTTTATCTTAAAAGCTAGAATTGGATGTGAGTGACTGTTGTTCATATCACTGAGCTCATTGGCTGTTCTCAGCTATGCTATGCTGAAAATATCTGTAAAAATCATTACTGCTGACAAATAATGTCTAATCAAGATGACTAAAAAAGATGAGCAACCCAGAGGGTCTGAATCTATAATGAAGCTTCTTACGGGCAGCAAGCACTAAGTGCATTAGATGTTCATGTAACTTGCATTACCTATTTTTCTTAATCTGGGTGCTGATTGTTGAAAGACAAGCTGGTATTCTTTCCTTCTGAGAAGTCTCATGTCCCCTTCTGCTTGGGCTGTAGGCCAAGAAGTCTGTGTTGCACATTCTAGAGCACTTTCTTTACAAACTCATTAAAAGGATGAAGTCCTCTCATTCCATGAGAAAATTACATTTCTGGAGCAACCCTAGAGTTTTCAAATTTGACAGTGCCCCAGTTTGGATTCTGAAACTACGTAACTTACATATGTGACTGCCTGTTTCTGTTCTGAAATATTAATTTACAGTGTTTTGCAGAATACCCAGTTTTAAAAAAGCCATTTATATACTACTACATATAGATGACTTTTTGGGGGGAAACGAGGGGAGAGAGGAAATGCATTTATTCTGTGAATTAACCATGATATACTTTAACGTCCCTCTATCCTATGCTTACCTCCAGGGGAGAACAGCAGTTTGAGGTACCATTAACCACTAGAGGGCAGTAGGAAGTTTTCAGTAATTAGCTGCTCAAGCAGTTGTAGAAATGATCAAAACTGTTTATTGCAGTATAGTTGTGTAAAGTACTATGGACTCTCCACATAGTGGGAATTGATCTGTAGCTAGTTTGTCTTCCAGCCTTTTTCACTAGCTATGAGGTTCGGAACAGTACCTCGATTCTTTAATATTTCTAGCAGTTTGTGTAAGCTCTTGAACAATTACTATTACTATTACAATTACTATTGATCGACAAAGATATTGGGCCAGATCCTCCGGCCATGTAAATTGTCATCATTTCATCCTCTTCAAACTGAGGTTTTACATCAATTAAAGGTCCAGCTCACTATGAGCAGCCGTATTGACTGTCTCATTACTAATCCCTGTTGCCTGAAGTCATGCAGCCTTCCCTTTAGAGTTCTGAGGAACTTTCCTTGCTTGTCTTCGCCCGCTCCTGTTGCTGAGGCTTGAACAGCAAAAACTAAACAAAACATCAAACCCCAAATGACCCTGAACTAAGTAAAGGACATGATCACTGGTAAAATGCATGCATTACCGTTGGTGACCTCAAGTGAGGATCACTCACTTCCTATGGGCTCATTCTCCTTTATTGCCCAGACAATAGGAGTCTGCCTCAGGGCATGTCACTGTGATATGTTTCTGTTTCTTGGTGAACCGAAGCCCAGAGCTTGAACAGACAAACTGCCCTAGCAGCCCTTTGTCATTGCTAATGTTTGTTCTGCTTAGGTCACTTGGTCCAAAAAGACCCTCCCCCACAACTTAGGCCTTTTGGAATGAACTATTTTTGTGATGCTTTTTGTTTTCTCTTCAACCCTTTCTGCATTTATTTTCGATCACCTTGTCTCGAATGGCCTAAGAGATTTAGCAAAGGTCCAGAGAAAGGGCAATTAAAACGACAGGCTTCAGGGGACTTGACTGCAAGGAAAACCGGAAAGGAGGGGAACTGTTTAGACTGGAGATGAGCTAATATGATGGCTGTCACCAAGAGTGCCAGTTGGGAGCTTCCCATCGGCCCATGTAGTAATATGAGACTATGAAGGCACTTGTAATTGAGGGAAAATATTAAATGCTTTTTTGCTCCATGCATAATATTGTCGAGTGCCACTGGAATGAACAGTTTGAAATTCTGCAAACAAGTTTACTTAATCCCTTTGTATTACAAACATAAGACAATAGAAATGAGATGTCTGTGACATCTGTCTAACCTATTAAAGCCATCTTTGCAAAATTTTGCTTGGAGCAAACAACTTTCTTTGATAATGACTAAATTATTATTTGGCATTATTGCTGTTATGGTAATGGCAAATAAATGGGTTTTGTGCCTGGGATGATAAATTTTTACAATTATGTCTCTTATAATTCTGAAAGTGCCTATCAGCTTCAAATTAAGGTTAGCTTCAGCTTTCCAGGCCAAGCGGGGTATAAATCCCTTAAACTCAAAAATGCCCAGTCCTTACAAATTCTCCATGTCCTATTTAGCATCTTTGTTTTCTGTCTTTGCCCTTACCAGTTTCTCACCTATACTGCCATTTTAGCCTCTTCATTGTGCCTGTTACAGTGAACCCCATATCTTAGGTACTTAATAAGGTCTATCAAATTGAGGCTTTGCTCTTTCAAGCCTTAAGAAGTCTGAGGGAGAAGCCGCCGATCTGTCAGAATAAATATAGATTTTTTTTTAATCAAAAGTGAGCTTTATTTAAAACATAAACCCTATTTAAAATTAAATTTGAAATTATGACAACCTGTATTAAGGCCTAGAATATTAGATTAAAATTATTGAAATTGAATAGAAATATATTCAAGCTGTACTTATTTCCTGACAAAGTTTTAAAGCAAATCAGATAACCAAAGTGGTTGAAAGTCTGTGGCCAAACTCTCGGAACCAGAGTTGGTTGAAATGATAAACCAGCTTCTGACAGCAATAGTATCTACTGGGAGTTGAAAAAAAATCTGTGAAAGCTTGTTTTCCTCTTCTTAGCTATGAATAAGAAACAGGTATGAGAGGATAAGGCCACTGATTCTAAAATCTTGAAGGACAAGGTGACCAGAAACAATCAGTTCAGTTGACTAATTGCTGGTAATACATCCTTTGTTTAATAAAGCAGTTAACCTAAATGCACATGTTTTGCATTTAAAACTAAGAGTACATAAGGTCTGGAATAGGTTTCAAAGGGAGACTGTGATGTCCCCATTATTGAAGATTTTTAAAAACAGGTTGAACACACACCTAGCAGGAACGGTTAAGTTTTATTTGGCCCTGTTACAGTACAGGAGGACTGGACTTGATGACCTTTTGCAGCCCTGTATTTGTTTAGACAACAATAAGTTTATCAAACAATACTGTTTTTCTTAGAGCCAGTATAATTAAGGTTATTTTTATTACTAAAATAAAGCCATCTTAAAATGCCGTTTTTCTGTGTTTTTAATGAAATCAGTTTCTGTTCAAATGCAGCTTGACACAAATGACAAATAAAAAATTAATCTAGTAAATAATATAAATTGAATGTAAAAAAATTAGGAATCTGGATGTTAAGCTATATAACTGCTTACGTGCTATATAGAAAAAAATATAGATTTCTGTGCATGTGTGTAACATTCGTGTTATACATTTATTTAAGTATATTATTTATAGAGAGTTGAGTGAGTCTTCCTGGTTTGCAGAAAAAAGAACCAAATAGCGTAAAAGATGTATTGAGTTGCAGATTAGTAATGATTCCCCCTTACAAGGTTGCTATATGCCTAAATGATGAATAACTAATTAAATAATAAATAACTGAAGTGTATAAATATAAAACTAATTTAAATTTGCTGATTTAGGTAATGGTTATAATCTAGAATGAAAATCACTGATACAAAGTGAATCTCCCCTATCTATTTCTCAGGAAACTTTAGTTTCTATGTTGCCCCATCTTCCTAACCGTTCATGTTAGTCACTTAACAGCAGAGGGGTCAAACAGTAGTCAAGGAGAGGGCCAGATGTCCAGCACTGTTCATGGAAGCAGCATCTTTAAAACATCAAAGATTGGCTGTGAAAGCCTAAGCAAAAGAGTATAGTCTTTCCTCCATGTTAGTTATATATTTAAAATACAGTCCAGCACTCTGTTAACGTGAAGACTTTTTTTTTAACTGGCATTGCCCCTAGCCACAATCCTGCTGCCTCTTCAGCCATGCGCAGCTGACTCCTGCCTGTCCAGCTAGCCATTGCGGGGCTTCTGACTGTCATCAGTAGGCACCTCTTTCTACTGCAGCATGCCTTGAGCTGCTGAGAGCTTGATCTGCTGGTAGGGGGCAGGGACAGAGCAATAAGCTTTGTTATCCAGCACATTCAGTTAACCAGCAACCCCCATTCCTTATTGAATGCCGGATAACAAAGCTATCACTGTACCATCACTGTAGACAAAAGCCTTCTTTACACTGCTTTCTCCTCCTCTGCAGTATCTCATGTGTTGATTCTTTCCCCTTGCAAACAGGTGAAACACAGAGATTTGCAAAGGCCAATGATAGCAAAACAGGGCTACTCTCCTCCACAATTTATATTCCAAAACAATTTAAGGTGCTGCTACTAACTTGAAAAACAGTGGATATTCCCATACACAGGACTTTCAAGAAAGTTGATTGATCAGTTAACATCCTGCAATATAATCTACACATATCTTACCATCCAAATATGATCGTTCCTAAATGTGCATTTAGACTCTTGACTTCTACAACAAACACCCTTTCATGTTCAATAGACACCCATCCTTCGAAAGCAGTATTAGTGTTCTACAGTGTCTGCAGGCTGTCACTCCTATATGCTACTAATTGATAGGCATTTCCTAATATCAAAGGTGTATGGAAAAAGGTATATTCCTGGTTCCATGGAATGCCTTCTAGTACAGTATTTTTGATGTTGTTTCATTTGAGAGAGTATAGAGCTGCAAATTTCAGCTCTGGGTTCACATTCAAACTTTGCTAGTGTTTGTAAAGGTGTTTCTGTCTGGATGTGGTGCAGATGACTTTTCAAAGAGAGAGGGCAACAGTTAAGTTCAGTTCAAGATACAAACTTCCTAAAGGTTAGAGTTGTGTGTGTTTGGTTTTTTTAAATCAGGCACTTGGTTTCAGCCCCTCGTATTTTTTCAGTATATAATACAGACATGCCCTAGTTCTGTCGTACTGTGCTTTTCTACCTTCCTAGACTTGTCCAGTAGGATTACCAGGTGTCGGGTATTGGCTTCTATCCAGGAAAAAAGAAAAACAACCCAGAAAATACTGGACATGTAAAATGTCCGGTATTTTGTTTTTCTTGGACAGGAGGCCACTTGGAACATTCTTTTCCTGTTGCATCTGGTAGGGGTAGGGAGTGTGGGATTTAAAGGCGCCGTGACTTTTTTTTGTGTGTGTATTTTTGGTCCTGTTTTTTTCCTTCCCTCAACCAATTTTTTCTGCCATGTTAGGTATTTGTTTTAACTATCTGGCAACCCTATTGTCCATTCATTTTTTCCCCAGTGTAATTGAAAAGCTTTTCTCCTTGATCATGAGCTCTGTTTTACACTGGTCATGTGTGTTAGCTGCACTCCCCATCTGAGAACTCTGACAGTTGCCCATCTGATTCTTAAATTAGAAGAATACATTTAAAGGATTACACTGGATAGTGACATTTCTGTTGGCAATGCCCTGCTTTTACCCTTTGTTTATGCAGTAAGGTCAAGATGAGATTTTTGTCAAGGATGGGTAAGTGGCAAGTGAGGGGTGAACACTCTCTTTGGGCCAGTGTGTGTCTGTATAATTCAATAACAGCAACAAATTGAATTGACATTTTCTTCTCAATAATAATATAAAATGCGGTAAGTCATTGTCTTGTCACACAGTAGTTATAGGCTTTTTGCAATGGCACATTAATTACAGTAATTGGTCAGTAAAGAAGCCACAGGAACAGCTAATGTGTTGTACACCTTATATGTAATTAATAAATTGCTGAGGATTGACATGGCTTGTAAGCCCTGATACCTCTGAATTATGATCTTTCATGTAGGTTTTAAAATTCTTCCATATTGTTCATGCCATAATGTAAAATGGTACTAAACCATTGAATACCATATTGTATTGGACTGTGTGTGTGTAATTAAATGACTTACCTTCTTCCTCAGTGTGAGAGGGGGGAAAAAATAGATATGCCCCCATCTCCTGTCCCCTCCCCACCCTGACCTGTGTAAGGTATTTGTATGGCCTCCATTACTATGTTATCAGAGTGGTCCTCAGTGCTTTTGTCCTTTTCTCTAGGTTACTTTTGGAGTTGCTTGAACTTCTCTTTGACAAATTCAACGCTGTGGCGGCTGCACATGCTGTGGTGCTGGGACATCTTCAGCAGACTGTGGCCTCTCCATCCAGCCTATATGATGGTGATATCAAACTGTATGACATGGCAGATGTGTGGGTGAAGATCCAGGATGTCTTGCAGGTAAGGAACTCTCCAGCAGTCATGCACTCCATTTAGAACAGCAATTTTTGGTGACAGTATGTCAGAAAATCTTCAGAGAGGTGCTCAAGAAGCTGTACGTGCTGGAATTTTTCTTTATTTTTGGGTAAACGTCTTGGTTGTTATACTGGACAGCTAGGTCCCTGAGTGCACAGACCTTAGCAATCAACGTCGTCTTTGGCTTCATCTTTACGGTATGTGGAGAGGTGATACAAGTTACCTGCTAAGTTACAAAATGATGTTCTTGAAAGCTTTCAAGCTGTAACATTTAACTCGGTGTTGTTACCTTGTCACATTTTCCTGTCACTTCGCAAGTCACAACTGAAACCACCTGTCTCCTTATGTCAGCATGTCTTTGTTACAGTCAGCTGAGACACTCAGGCTAGAGTTGCTGCTCACATATTTTCTCTGAAGACTCCTCAAACTGTGATGAACTCTGCTACAAATGATTGCAGAAAGTTCCACATTTTCTTTTCTTTTGTTGTTCTGTTGACCTGCCCAATGGATAGTGAGAACTGTTGAAACATAAATAAGTATGGCTAACTGTACATGCACCATGTGTGACTTATTAAGTAGTTTTGAACAGCTTACCAGCCCTTTGCCAACTAATTTCTTTTCCCTAGCCTCTTTCTAGCCCTGAGACCGTTTCAAACAGGCTCTTTGTAAAGACTCAGTTTGACACAGAAATGTTTTGTTCTCTCCAGATGTGAATTTTAAGCCTCTTTCCTTTCATTCATCCCTTATTCAGTCCCTGGCTAGTGACAGTCACAAATTTTAAAAACATTGCTTAGAGTTGACTGGAACATGATAGTGGCAATGGTTAAACTTGTGGGTGGCGAAAGAGCACTGAGTTCATGCTCGAGCCATGCCACCGTTGCTCTTGAGGGCCAAAAACCCTTGAAGAGCTTTGGCAATTCTTCCAGTCTCACTCTAGGGAGCAGAGACCTAGGAGTGAGAATCTTGCAAAATGTTACCTTCAGTAATGCGGAATTACAAGGCAAGTATTTCCCCTTCCCGGCTAAGTTGATGATGGTTGCATCCCTCATGAGTGGTGAAGTTAGGCAGGTTATTCTGAACTAAAATTATAGAATCATAGGACTGGAAGGGACCTCGAGAGGTCATCGAGTCCAGCCCCCCGCCCTCAAGGCAGGACCAAGCTCCATCTACACCATCCCTGACAGATGTCTATCTAACCTGTTCTTAAATATCTCCAGAGAGGGAGATTCCACCACCTCCCTTGGCAATTTATTCCAATATTTGACCACCCTGACAGTTAGGAATTTTTTCCTAATGTCCAATCTAAACCTCCCCTGCTGCACTTTAAGCCCATTACTCCTTGTCCTGTCCTCAGTAACCAAGAGGAACAAATTTTCTCCTTCCTCCTTGTGACACCCTTTTAGATATTTGAAAACCGCTATCATGTCCCCCCCTTAATCTTCTTTTTTCCAAACTAATTGAGAAGACCTTTTTTCCCAGCTGACCCACTTGCAACCAACCCCCCTTCTTGCCTTTGAATGGAGTGTGCCTCCTATAGGACTGAGGAATCAGATGAGAGCTTTAAATTTTGTTGTTGGGACTGGCGTTTTGTAATTTTCTGCCTGTGATGCTTAGTCTCTATAAGCCTGCATCTTCAGAGCTCAGATGGAGCCATACTCCTTCCCTCCCCTTCCTCTAACATGACCTAAATAGCTTTTCTGTACATAAAAATGACAGCAATTTAAATACCATAATTTTGTGCCCATCTGGGGATGGAAATGAGCGCTGGATCGCCATGAGAAGCTGGGTCTCCCCTTTATTTCTGTTTCTTTAGAGCTTCTGTTGCTTACATTGCAGGGTTATCAGCTTAAGCAGCTGGTGAAAATATTTTTTGGTGGCTAGATGTGTGGAATGGAGTTGTTCCCCATCCAGTGCGTGTGTGGGAGGAGCTGCCTCTTTGAGGTGTGTCTCAGGCTTCATACTTGAATGTGTGTGTGAATTTGCAGGGAGTGTCACTGTCTTAAGCCCAGCATTTTGTGGAGGGAAGGCCCCTAAAGTGGGTGTTAGAGAGCAAGCCCACCTCATACTCTTCAGGGTCGGTCTTGAATCCTTCAGCTGTGAGCAGCTAAAACTCTGCACTTTTGAAAACGGCAAGATTCAAATTGTGTTAAAAAACAACATGGAGTTCTGTGGTACCTGAAGTACTAATGTTTTCATTTGGGCATAAGCTTTTGTGTGCTGGAGCCCACTTAATCAGATGCATGGATGTTCTGGATGGTCATAAGATAGTAGACTTTACAGTTGTGACACATATAGATGTAGAAAAATGTTTATTGGTCTGTCTAAACTGTATCCATCCTGATTCTTGACCAGCAATCATTGAATGACTGAAATTCCACATTTTTGTAAGGCAAAAGAAGAAACATTTCTCTAGCAGGTTAATTTAAAAATGAAACCGCATTTGTTTAAATGTGTTTAGGGCTTAGGAAGGATGGAAGTAATTGTGAGAAGATGCATTAGTGGCACAAGTGAAAGTCCAGTGATGCAGTTAAGGATGAATGAAATGGTTTCATGTCTATGCAATATATCACATACCTGTACAATTTTTCACATGGATAAAGTGACCTTTTAAAACATGTCTGTGCATGTGTAATGTTTTGTGAACTAGCTGTCTTCCTAGCTGCATGCATACATATGTATGTATATTTTGTGTGCATATTTGAGGATGGAGGTGGTGAAGAAAAATGTGAAATATGTAAGACCGTATTAATCTTTTCTATCCACTCAAATGACCTGACTTGCTTTTCTCTACCTGAATGCTTCCCAGTAAAATTCAGTGTTAATACTTGCTGCTCTTATGTATGTGACATTAAGTTGTATAGTGCCAGGTAGTGGCATATTGAAAATACGCAGATTTTTCTGTGCGTTTCCAATATTAATTAAGAATGAAATAAAAAGATGAGAGATCCACTGAGGAGCATATGGTGACTCTTTAAAGTTGGATGTCTGAGTACATGAGAATATTAGAACAGTCTCGCTTAGTACAGTATAGTTTTTGGTCCTATTTGTTGTTTGTTTTATGGTTTCACATGTTTTTGTCAGTTCTATCCTGATGTGCCTATGAAGCTACACTGGAGCAAGAGAGATTTTAGCTGTTAGGCTGAGATTTTATGGCTGTCGGTCATTTAGTTTTTTAATTTAGCAGTGGTTCAATGTACTTTTGGAGCGTGGTTGCTTCAGAACTGAATATTTGATGGGAAAGTACAGTAAGTTACCTACTGTTAAAACATTGCAACATAGATAACTGTTACAGAATAATGTGATGAATGATACGCTAAGCTTTTCTGGCAATGCTAAGATGTTTTCTGAATCTTGCTGCCAAAGGATAAGAAGGATTGCCATTAAGGCAGTATTGAATAAAAAGCAGAAGGGTGCATGCACCATGTCACAAGGCCTGAAAACTTACAATTCATTGTTTGTTGGGGTATGGCTTTGCTTTTCATTGTTTCGTCTGTAGCTCCCACAGCAGAGTTCGAATCCATTATATAGTTGATTGAGAGAAAACTGCTGTCTTACTGTCAGAAGGCAAAGAACTGGGAGATGGACAGTAACAATAGTTGTTACTGGGTTTTGCAGCGTCCCCCCCAATGTTAGCCAGGGCACAGACCTCTTACTCTCCTTCACTTTCTTTACACTGCCTTTGATACTGAGATAATAGGAATATGCATCTATCTGGCTCATCAGAGTAACACCAGCATTTCGTTAGACCCTGCTGAAATGTCACCTCTTCGATGATATGCCAGTCATCTTGTCAGTTGTGTGCCATCTGAATGTGCAATGATGCGCTGCACTAGAAAACCTAGAGCCATCACAACTCAACATCTGAGTTGGAGAGCGTCCATGGGGCCAGGTGTCCTGCCTCCAGGTAAAGCCTCTACCAGATCTTAGTTCGTAATAGTAATAACACTGTCCATTCGCATTGCATTCCAAAGTTCTGAGGATGCATTACCAGCATCAGGTAGTTGAGCTGGCCAAATGTGCATAAAATATTTTATAGCTGGGGAAACTGCATGCAGAGCAATTAAGTGATATGCAATGCGCACACAAGACATCTTGCAAAACAGAATCCATGCCTCCTGTCTGCCAATCCTGTGCTTTAAGAAAAAGGCCATCCTTCAGCACTCGAATCTGTTGCATTACTTCGTAGCTGGGGATAGCAGAAACCGTACCTATAAAAATTGGCTCCCTTCAGTACGTATGTATGTATCTTTTTCAGATACTTGCCTCCCATTGTCCTTTTATACGTAGGAAGGAAATGTGAATTAGGCTATGTCTACACTACCCCGCTAGTTCGAACTAGCGGGGGTAATGTAGTCATCCACAATTGCAAATGAAGCCCGGGATTTGAATTTCCTGGGCTTCATTTGCATGAAGCCGGCTGGCGCCATTTTTAAATGCCGGCTAGTTCGAACCCCGTGCCGCACGGCTACACGCGGCACGGACGTGGAATGAGGAGTACAGCTAGTTCGGATTAGGAAGCCTAATCCGAACTAGCTACTCCGTGCCGCGTGTAGCCGCGCGGTACGGGGTTCGAACTAGCCGGCATTTAAAAATGGCGCTGGCCAGCTTCATTTGCAATTGCGGATGACTACATCACTACCCCGCTAGTTAGAACTATAGACATACCCTCAGTGATTAGTGCAAGAGACTTGGGATGGAGGAAAACATCTTCATTGCTGAGTTTAAGACTTGAGTGCCAATCACAGCTCTATCAAGCCTGCCACGGGGATGGATGGGAGGGGTCAGTTGCCCTTGGGCCTGGTGATTCAAAAGGGCCGGGGGCTCCTGGTGACAGTTGCTGCTACGACACCGGGTGGCACGCTCCATGTGGCTCTGAGGACTGGGAGGTACGGGACGCATCACACTCTGGGTGACCTGCAGGGCTGACTGCCTTTCCAGAACCCCTTTCATGGAGGCGGTCGTCATCTCCCCTGTCTGTGAGGAGC